AAGTGTGGCTAATACGTCTATATATATATATTTATGTACAGAGAGAACATATGCTTATCACAGTGTTAGTTAGAATAGTTTAATTCAGATGTGTTAATTTACACAGGTACCATTAAACATTCTCACATCTACCAAGTAGTTTACAGATGATTGAGGTAGATGTATCCATTTACATAGTTATTAATGAAAATCCCCATATTTACCAATTAGTAATTATAGAATAATAAGGTGGATGCATTCATTTTCACGTAGTTGTTATTGAAAATGCCCACATCTGCCAAGTAGTGTTTGTACATTACTAAGATGGATATATTTGTTTACGCAGTTATTATTGAAAGTGCCCACATCTACCAGGTAGTGCTCATAGATTAATGAGGTTTTGAAGGCTTTGGACATTGTTAATTTTGATCATGTTAAAGAAATTCTTAAACTTTGACAGAAGTATTTACAATATTTACAAGTATATACAATTATTATACATACTTTTAATATGGTGCTTAATTGTGTGATATACAGTGATTCAATTTATTGCTTTTTTTCTCCAAAGAAATGATTCACAAAAGTTTCTCAGTTTGATGTAGTTTAAAAGATTACACAAAAATAGCAGTGCAAATGTTTCTGTGTTCTTAGATAAACCCCACAAGTGTACATCCATCTGCCACAGTGGAGAATGCCCACCTTGCCAGTTAGAATCATCAGTTAAATGTAAGTGTGGTGGCACTATGGAGAAGCACCCATGTGCTAAACTGAAGTCTCTGTCAGAAGTGTTGTGTCAAAGAAGATGTAACCGGAAGAAAAACTGTGGTCGGCATAAATGTCTTAACACATGCTGTGTGGATAATGAACATAAATGCACATTAACTTGTAATAGGAAACTCAGTTGTGGGCTCCATAACTGTCCGGAACCTTGTCACAGGGGTAACTGTCCCAGCTGTTGGAATGTCAGTAAGTTGATATTTTCACTTGAAGGTATTGTCCAATTTAAATATAATCCTGCTGTTTAAAACTTTTGTGGTTGTAACAATTTCACCTTCAAGTTCATTAAGTAAATGCATTTAAGACTTTTTTTAGAAATTATATGATGTTTCTTAGAAATAGATATTACCAATGAAAGAATTTTAGAATAATAAACACTGCTTTTCTGAAATATGAAAATATTGATTACGGGTTGGATCTTGTAATTTAGAAACTTATATTAACAAAGCAGCTGAAATTTTGGTTCAAGAAACACGTATAGAAGATCTGTCCTTTTTCACTTGAGTTTGGTTACATTAGTAATGTGAGTACATTTTCCAGAGGCAACTTATTTACTTAGAAGTACATCTATCTTTATAAAACAATAAGCATATCCTCTAGAAATGACTAAATGAACAAGTATAATAAAAAAATATTTTAATTTTATAAAGACAAGTATGGATTGATATGTACATAGCCTAGCTAGCTATAGTAATATAGAAAGTTTTAATGCTATAAAAAGTATATTGAAACAGAAAGTCAAAACTACAAAAACTGAGTTACTTAAAAGTTATAAAATTTTATTTCTACTTTGGCAAATCACTGTAATTATGTTTGCCTGAGCATGGGGTACATATACATGATTTGATTTTATTACTCATCAGGATCTTTACCAATCTACCCTCAAATTTAATTACATACCCAATGTTGTGCTTGGAGGTAGTTACTATTTTCATAAAATGTATGGGCTTTCCATTCTTCTTCAATATGATTCTGTGGACTGCGTGGATTCTTGAATTAGTGTTTTGTTTGAGGGTATGAAGAATCTTGTCGATGGTAATGGACTGGTCTAAGCGTCACAGGAAGACTATGTGAAGGCAGGTGTGGCTTTTAGGAGGTTGACAAAAAAGTGCAGGGCTAGAATTCCAGGGTTTACACAGGACTTCATAAATTTTGGGTTGTAAGAGGATTCCTCTTTTACATAGTTTTCTCGTGGCCTTAGGGAGTAGGCTGACATCTGGTTTGTATCTTCAGACGAAGTCTACAACTTGACTGGTGTAGTAGTTGTAAGGAAAGTTGTAATTTTTTCTTATCTAATTGAAAAGCTTCTATTTTTGGCATTTTGGTTACTTTTATAACAATAAATAAAAATATACATAAAAAAATGATTTAATACTTATGTGTGGATTTTGCTCTTTATTATCTGGATTTGTTTGTAGAGATATTTTTAGTACTTTCTTAATTTCTATTCGTTTTAGCTTTGCAATTTATAACACAAAATATTAACCTACAAAAAAAGTAATGTCTTAAAACTATTTTAAGTTAACCGGCTTTCTAACTAAACTATATGCTTTACAAATATTTTCCCTACCTGGTTAGGGTGACCTCAGTGATGGTAAACAATGAAATTGCTCTTGAATAACTGAAACCGATTGTAAGAAAGAACAAAACTCGTATGGAAAGCAGTAAATTAAAATTTCTCATTCTATTAGTTATAAATAATCCAATAACAAACAAAAAAAATTCTAAACACAGCATTTGCTAAGAGGGGCATGGCATGCGAGTTTCAGTTTGTGTCATGTAACTCATTAAAGCAAGAAGAACAGATGTTATGTACATTAATTTTAGTTTGGGGATATTTAATGTATAAGTGTGTAAATCTTCAGAAACTTGGAAAGTAACTTAGGAATAGAAAGAAATTCTATAATGCACAATTTGGAGCAAAGTGTCACATGATACATAGTAGTGAAGAATGAGAATGTATTTAAATATTTCCTTTTGAAATTAAAAATTAATACTTGTATAATGTTAACATTTGAATTATAAACTACATTTATTAGCCTCGCCTAATTCTGAAAAAATGTTCATAAATTCCAACTCCTCAAGTAATATTCTTTGTTTAACATACTTGAAAGTTCTTTTTCATAGTTGATACATGATTGGTGGTTTACTATAAAATAAATACAGCAATTCAAAAAATTAAGAGTAACAGTACCAAAACGTTCGTGTTGAAACTGTTAAAGGTTTACACATGATTATTGTTTTTCATAAGCTGCAGTCATACAATATTGCATGACTTGACATTTTTTATTCAGCTGAGCTTTCTACAAGAATATTTGCACAAAGTTTTCTTAATTAATGCACAAGACAAAGATGATGTTGTTGTAGTGTGTACAGTAAAGATGAAGTGACTTACAACTACCCTTATTTATTACATGTAGGAAAAAAATTCATGTTCGGTACAAATACTTTTTAATATTTTTAGTTTAAGTTACAAAATTGACGGAACTTGTGTGTACATTTGTCTTGGAAGTTTTATGCGCAGCAGAAGAATTAATCTGATCAAACCATTTTATGTGCATAAAAAGAATTGAGTTAGAATACAAGTGTCAGCCATATAAAGATATGAAAAAGTGTTATGTAAAAGAGCAAGCCCTGTTACCCTTTTTTATATATATACCTTGGCTCTTTTTTTTTAATATCACACCTTTTTATGGCTGACCCTTTTATTCTAATTTTGTATTTTTCTATTGTTTTGTACATTGTTTTGGTACGATATCACTAATTTTTTGTTTTGATTGTCTTTTTATTATTAGATAAAGATAGGATTTCACCTGAAGTGGGATTTGAATCCCTACTGTAAGGTACAACATATTAGACCACTGCACCATTTTCTATTTGACCCTTAAGTCATCAGTTTTAACCATTAACAGTAATTATACACTTAACTTTTATGAAACAACAGTATAAACACTTTTGAACCTTAGAAGGTTCTCCTCTATAAAAATTTTCACAATTAAAGTGTTAAGTGGACCCCAAAGTATTCGTGTATCTGTAATTTTTAAACAAAGGTTGCCCAAATTTTTTCTTTGGGTGAAACTTAAAAGAGATGTATGTGAAATAGTTGAACCAGTTTATGCTAAAGAGAGGATGTGAAACTTGAGATATATGGCATAATGGAATAAATAAGAAATTCATCTTTATACAATTTTTGATTAGATTTTAACTCTGTTTTGGATTGTTATTATTGTTGAAGTTAGCTTGTCTGAATGGGAGAGTGATTTTGTGTTTTTATTTGTTATTTTAACTATATAAGATCAGTTTTATTTATATTGTAGAAGTACAAATTGCTTTAATTGAATGAAAAAGTTTTTATAATACTTTTGAGAAGGATCAGGAAAGCAGTTAAATGACATATACAGAGTGAGAAAACTTTCATTCTGGTTTTCAACTTGAACATCCAAAACCAGAAATTTATGGTCTTCATTTTTTGTAGTTAGTGTTATCTTCGTGCGCATGCGTGAATTTTTTCCCGCTTGTTGATTGCGTCAGTTGTTGGCAAGCAGCCATTGAGTGAGGTAGTGTGTAGTGCTCTCGTCGGTTTTTCATTGCAAGGAAAATGACGGAACGACTGGAGCAGCGCTACTGCATCAAATTTTGCCAGAAACTGGGCGACAGCCAGGTGGAAACCATTAGGAAGATTCAGACGGCTTTCGGTGACGATGCTATGGGCATCACACAGATTAAGGAGTGGTACAACCGGTTTAAAGACGGCCGCACAACGGTGGAGAGCAAGCCACGCTCCGGTCAGCCATCAACATGCCGAAATGACCAGGTCATTGCCAAAGTGAACGCTATGGTGATGTGGGACTGTTTCGGTCATAATGGAATGTGCCGAAAAAGTGCTGATGCCCACCTCTTCCGCAATTTCTCGGATAGTCACACGGATTTGGCTATGAAGAGAGTGGCGGCGAAATTCGTGCCAAAGCTGCTTACGGCGGAGCAAAAGGAACTTCGTGTTGAAGTCTCACAGGACATGCTGGACTCCACAAACAGTGACCCCGACTTCATGAACACCATAATCACTGGTGAACGAGTCTTGGGTGTACGGGTACGACACGGAAACCAAATCCCAGTCGTCACAGTGGAAGCATTCCACGTCACCAAGACCAAAGAAGGCCCGCCAAGTGCGCAGCAACGTCAAAGTGATGCTGACTGTTTTCTTTGACTCCCGCGGTATGGTACACCACGAGTACGCACCACAGAGTCAAACAATCACCAAAGAGTATTACAGGGATGTCCTCCGTCGCCTACGTGATGCTGTGCGGTGCAAGAGACCGGAATTGTGGTCAACTGGAAATTGGCACCTCCATCACGACAATGCTCCAGCACATTCCTCGCACTTGATTCAG